GCCCCCCCCCCCCCTCCAAATTATAATGTGATCTGTGAGTTATAATAACATCATATTGGAGAGAGGGGGGGGGTGTTTCTGTACATGCATTTACCTCAGACAGCAAAAGTACAGACAAACAAAGTTCCCACAAAATATTGCATCATCTATAAGTAGCATTGGTAGTAGTTTCATAATAGCACAAATGAGCACGCCTCAGTATTTAGAAGACAGAATATGTCAAAAGAGTTCATGAGCCTGAAGCTGCCTGTGGATTTAAGACAAACAAGACAAAGGAAAATTGGGAGAGTAAGAGGTGTAAAGAAATAGGACCTACCAGTGACACCCTCCAACCACACACTGGAAAGGAAGCAGTGACAATGAAATAGAGACCCCAAAAAAATCTTTTTGAGACTGGGAAAGGGAGAAATAGGTAAAAATAACAACACAACAAAAGCCATTACTTACAAAAATGGAATCAATAAGACCCTCGACTCGCTGTTCAATTGAATGAAGTCCTTGCTCAGGAGGAGCAGCCATATTGCTCACAGCTTCTCAGTTCATAGGTACCTAGATCAGAGCCAGGAAAATTTTTATTTCAAACAAAAAAATCTTAAGGGGAAGGAAGTAGGAAGTGAAATACATTATGCTTCAAAAAAGAGATATAAAGGATTAAAAGCTTTCAGCTTGTAGAAGAGCTCAGCTCAAACCTGATACTGATCTGATAGCCAGTTGCTCACCTTCAATTGCACAGTAAAGTAGTTTTTTACTTGAAAACACCACAGCCCTACACTTTAATACTAGCTCACTGACAACTGAGCCCTTTTACTTGTTTCTAGCACTAAATACTGGCATTTTGGGGAATTCAAAAATACTATCATAGCTCTCAGAATAACATCCCATTGTTTTTTGTTTTGTTTTTCAGAGTAAGGTTAAATTGAAATAAAATCTAATTTAAAAAAACATGAGCAGTCTAAGTCTAAACTATTATTTTTATGATAAAAAAAAAGCACTGAGCAGTAAGGGGTGGAAACACTGTGAAAGACATGAAGACAACCATTATATTGGCTTCCATTTATCATGGCTACTCCAAGGATGAACAACATATGTACAACCACTGTCCACCCGGCGAAGCACCCTGGTGCTTTTATAGGGCAGCCATAGCAAAAGGAGAAACTCCTGGCACCTCATCGCAAAATGGTGAAGACCAGACTGGATTACAGTCTTCTGCATGGGCATTTAAAGCCAGTATATGACAGGCTGTCTGATACTGACCTGCTACTTCACTGCTAGGGTCATGCCACTCAAAATGCAAATGAAAGTCTTCATAGCGTCATGTGGAGCAATTGCACGAAGGCTAAGTTTGCCTCTTCCAAGAAAGTAACGTTTTCTATGCTGGTGGCCATTACTAAGTTGAACCATGGCCCAAAAGGTAGGAGTGTTGTGAGGGAGTTGTATGGACAGACAGAGTGTATCAGTTCAGCTTGCTTGGTGACGCAAAGGGCAGCAATGCAGATTGCTTACAGTCAAAGGTATGAGGGGGAGAAACTGTCTTAGAGAAGGTCTTTGAAGCAGATGGCATAAACTAGAAGGGAGAGGGAGTCAGAAGAACTTGAGGGTGGTCCAAGCTATGCTGCTGGCTCATTTTAAATTGTTTTTTTCAGGCTGGAAACATCATTATGAGAATAGAAGGCAAGTGCACTTTTGCAATGAAAGCTTATTTTCTCAAAAACCAATTTTTCTGCATTTGAAGTTATAAATCTCCTATGTGGTTTGTGTGACACACTTCAAATTTATACCATGTGTTTACGAGCATCAAATACAAATTTTGTCCCATCCATATATGTAAATATACTGGGAAGTGCTTTTTTAATGTTAGGGGAGGGCTTATAATTGCATACTATAGTTAATATAATACACATATTTCAAAAATTCGTAAAAAATACTGCTATTCATTTTGCAACTGAAAATGAGACAAAATGTGCCTGATGTTGATGGAAGTATGTGTGTGCCAACTTTCATGATTGTTGGATGGATAATGAATGAGAAATGTTCCATGGAAATATACTAAAAAATCCAAGATGGCGGCTGTTTTTACCCGTTTCCATGGCAACCAAAGCATTTTTCAAAAAATGAAATGTGTCAAATGTGAAGAAAGTCTATGTGGGGTATGGTTATATCACAAGTAAGTAGATGGGAAGTTACCCGTCTAGCTTTTAGTTTTCACTGTAGACCTTGACCTTAAGCGATCTAGGACCGTCGTAAGCAGTGGGATCTTAGCTTTCGACTTAGGAGGAAACTACTTACTAGGATAACATGACAATGACTACAATACTACGAGGCTACTGGCCTTCACATGTGACTAAACGTAGACCGACGCATCTTCCTGATTGGCTGCTAATTTTAGTAATGTGATGTCATCACTTCATGGAATACCCACAGACTATTTTTATTAGGCCATGGAGTTACCAAAGATTCTCTACTACACTACCCACTACACGATCTTTGGAGACACTGCATGAGACGACATGACATGTTGAGCCAGTGGCTTGACCTATTAGCAGTATCGACGTGTTTCACACTGTAAAATTTCACACTTGCGGCTAACTGCAGCACGTCAGTCATGCTCTGAAGATAGAAGATCGCTTAGATCGTTGATGCTCAGAACAGTAAGAACGCTCATGCTTGAAATTGAAACACGGTAAGCAAACGCAAAGACAATAAAGCACGCCAAAATTGCTGTAAATACAACCGGAGATCCCCCCCCCCTCCCGGGCCCACAAAACAATGCGCAGAAGAGATAAGCAGGAGCAGCATCGAAGCACAGCATCATATCACATTACCGGAACGTCTCCTGAAAAAAACATTGCACCAAACGTCGTGCCAAGGGAGGTATACCGAAGTGTATTCAGACCCCGTAACCGGGAACAAAGTCACAAAGTATACAGACCTGGTAGGGGAAATCTTTTGTGATTTCGGAAAGTTTCAGCGCCCAGATCCGGTATAGTGTGTGTGTGTGTGTGTGTGTGTGTGTGTGTGTGTGTGTGTGTGTGTGTGAGTGTGTGTGTGTGTGTGTGTGTGTGTGTGAGAGAGAGAGAGAGAGAGAGAGAGAGAGAGAGAGAGAGAGAGAGAGAGAGAGAGAGAGAGAGAGAGAGAGAGAGAGAGAGAGAGAGAGAGAGAGAGAGAGGGAGAGAGAGGAGGGGGTAGAGAACAGGGGAGAGTGCTAGCAAATATCACGCCCCAGTTGACAGGAGGGAACGAGAGAAAGATAGAGTGGGAAAGTAGGTGGGGGAGAAAGAAAGACAGAGACAAACAAAGAGAAAGAGAAGACGAGCGATACATGAAAAAAGAGGGGAGAGAGACAGAGAAATAGAGAGGGTGACTGCTTGATTGAAATTATGATACTGTTCTTTTCTTCAAATTGTCTAATTGATGCTTCCAACTCCAAAACGGAGGAAAAATGATGGTTCATCAAAAAGACATTCGCAGTCTTCATTTAGATCTAGATCTAGGCCTCGAAACTAGATATCTATCAATGTCTGTTTGTCTACTAATTGCAGGGTCCCCACCAAATCCTGGAAAAAAATTTTTAGACCCCAATTCGAGGGAAAAATCAGGCCGCTGCGCGTCAAGAATTATCCCCAAAAAAGCCAATCTATCAATGATAAAAAGTCAAAATGTCTATAAATGAATTCAAACATACATTTTGTAGTATAGTCTTCAAACAATAGATGACTATAATACTGGGTAACTGCCAACCCAGCTTCTCAATTTTCCAAGGGAGGGGCCTCATCCATTTTCCAGGAACACGTTACATAACAATGAAAGCGTGTGCTCCATTTATATCTAATATAATAGTATATGTTTGTGAATACACACACACACACATGTAGGTACATTATCCAGTCAACAACATGTCAGTGTGGCACTGGGATCTTTAGAGACTTTGGTATTTCAGTCTGTTTTTACTTATTTATATTTTCCCCTCATCATATTAGCCAACATAACAAACTATAGACCCTATATATAAAAAATGAATCCTGTTTTGAGCCTGAGAAAAGACCTAGAACTAGAATATATCGACTGTCAATAACCAGTCTGGGTGTCATGATTCATATAATGAACGTGAAGACGAAAACTATTGCTCAAACTCAAAGTAGAGTAATATTAGTAATAACTAGAATGGCTCAAGTACACCTATTCAGTGTGAGAGGTGTAAGAACTGAGGGAGGGCAAGATGCAGTGACACTGAAAATCTGCCAATCTTGAACAGAAAGCTAAAATATAGATATAAATCACAATCACCCCATCCAATGAAACGCGAACACTTTAGTTCAATAACAAGGCATGACGGATCCTGATTCCACACAAGGCCTGCACCAACGCGCTCTTTGCAGAGAGCTCTAAAGTAGTTATCAAAATGCTAAAAATTTGCTTCCAAGTTCAGTTTTTGTCCTAGACTCTAGCGTTGCCTTAAGCTCCCCCCCCCCCCTCATCCCCTTCAACGAGTGTATATTATAAAGGAGTCCTACTTCACAGCGCTCAGACCGCCGGTACTCACTGGTTCATTGACCGGTCACGAGGGCGAACCTGTCAAGACGCTTGTATAAGTTCTTGTTCTTTTTTTTTTTCCACAAGCGACAGCAGAGGGCAATTTTTAATATTGATTTATTTTCAAGGCGACACAGCGTTCATAATGCATAATCTGCATGTTACAAATGTTGCGTTATGTATCAGACTATTACCGGAAAATTTTTGGGCGGTAACGAAAGCGAAAGTAGATCTTGATTCTTCCCGATCGAGCCTTGGTGTCTCACATACACTTCCGCCACAGCGGTTCAATTACGTTTCCTCTTCAGGATTCATCAACCATACAGTCTAGATAGCTACACATTACACAGGCCCTATCCTTTCCCGACTTATCGACCCATCACAAAATTCCCGACTTTTTCCCGACCTCCCGACCCATCTCAAAATTCCCGACTTTTTCCCGATTTCCCGACTTGGTGGGGACCCTGTAATTGTCTAGATCTAGATCTAGGCCATGGCCATAGATCAAGAAGAACCTCGGTCAGTCTACCCTGAACCAAGAGGGCGCTGAAACTTTCCGAAATCACAAAAGATTTCCCTACCGAGTCTGATACTACTTCGACTTAGTCATAGTGACTTTGTTCCCGGTTACCGGGTCCGTTAACTCCAATACACGATCTGTTATGCCATGCGGTTGGCTATGTTTAAACGAAGTGTATACAGACCCGGTAACCGGGAACAAAGTCACAAAGTATACAGACCCGGTAGGGGAACTCTTTTGTGATTTCGGAAAGTTTCAGCGCCCAGACCCGGTAGGACTAGTGTGTCTGTGTTTGTGTGTGTGTGTGTGTGTGTCAGAGAGAGAGAGAGAGATATATACATACATACAGGCATGGATGGAGGATCGGACAGAGGGACAGACCGAATTATACATACAGAGGGAGAGAGAGAGAGAGAGAGAGAGAGAGAGAGAGAGATTTATACGCTCACCGTGGGACCTGGGA